AGGTGAGAAAATTAATTCCACATACTTCTAAAGTCTCGTGGGAAGTTTGAGGTACTTGACTTGTACGAGGCCAGACATTCTATTTGGAGTTGGACTCATAAGTTGTTGCATGGAGGCTCCTACTTCGTCGCATTTGAAAGTGGCGAAAAGAATTCTTCGCTATATTAAAGGTATAGTTAATTACGAAATTTTCTATACAAATTCGCAAGATTTTAATCTTGTTGGCTATTGCGATAGCGATTGGGCCGGTGACGTTGATAGCCGGAAAAGTACTACTGGATTTGTTTTCTTTATGGGAAAATCTGCATTCACGTGGAATTCGAAAAAGCAACCAATTGTGACTCTTTCTACTTGTGAAGCGGAGTATGTAGCTGCCACTTCGTGTGTTTGTCACGCTATTTGGTTGAGGAGTTTGTTGAAAGAACTCAATTTTTCTCAAGAAGTTCCGACTGAAATTTGTGTTGATAATAAGTCGGCAATTCAATTGGCAAAGAATCCAGTGTTTCACGAGAGGAGCAAGCATATCGATACGAAGTACCATTTTATTCGAGATTGTATCTCCAAGAAAGAACTGAAGCTGGAGTACATGAAGTCGAAAGACCAAGTTGCGGATATCTTCACGAAGCCGTTGAAGCTCGATGTGTTCAAGAACTTACGTTTTTCCCTTGGAGTGATGAATTTAGTTTAAGAGGGGGTGTTGAATTATTAAACTAAATTAATATTTGTTAATGTATCTAGGTGGTCATGTTCTAGAATTTACATAATTCATGAATGTAAGTTATAGATGCATGAAAGTAAAATGTAGGTGAAATGCATCTAGTAATTAGGGAAGTTTGAAGAGGTATTCTTACACCTATAAATACCATATGTGAGTCATTTGTAAGTTGCAAGAGTGAAGAAGCCAAGAAGAAGAAGATTAATATAATAAAGTTTTTTTTACTTCTCCTCTACCATTTTCTAACAGGCTTTGAGACGAGTGATTCAGATCGGTGTCGTTGCTAATGAGATCTGACAGGGAAGACGACCACGTTGGGATAAGAGAAGGTGGGAAATTTGGTCGTGCGAGTGTCAATGTTGAGATCTAAGACGGCGGCGGCGGGTGGCCGGAAGAGACGACCTGTAGGGGATGGTGGGGAAACGTGTTTACAGATTCTGAAAATTAATTTGCGTCATGTCTTTGACAATTTGACAAACATGGAGGACCTATTTGCAATTATCAAAAGTTAATAAATATATTTGTCTGTTTCAAAATGTAAAAGGGGTTACGAAAGTATCTTAGTCTTGAAATCTGCTTATTTCAATTTAATAGTGTGACATGGAATTTGGATAATTTGCAAGGCATATAATAAAATCATTAAAAACCTCAGCTTTAATTGAGCATGATCATATATTTCATAGTTGACATTCATCTAAAATCACATTTGTTTTTTCTTTTTCTTTCATGGTAACCTCATACATATTTGCAATTATAAAGAGTTCATTTATTTACACATGTCATGTGTATATTTGACAATGTTTGCACATAATAATACAAAAAATGCACAATGTTAAGTGATGATATGCAATGATGCATATTAAAATCATTAATAAACTAGTATTTGTATTATAAAAAATATTTAGTATGTTAATATTTTCTAAAGAAACAATATACATGTAAAAAAATATATAAGAAAAATTAATATTTGTATATGGGTCGATCGGTTATTTGATTTTAGACCGTAATGAAACAATCGAAATTATAAAAGTAAAAAATTAATAATCGGACTGACATATAAAGAACCGGACAAAAAAATGCATTAGAGGTTGAATGATAAATGAATTATACCGTGCAATCTAATAGGTATTAAAGTGCAATTCGGCCAATAATATGGTGCACGGTAACTATCTGTAATGTGCATATTGAACCAAACGATTTTTTGTTACAATCTATTTGAAAATGAATGATTTATTAAGTTTGGTTAACCAAATTATCATAAAAATAGTCAAAATATTTTGTTAATTATATTTAAATTATATTTAATATTAATGATTTTATTTATTATTTTTTATATTATTTGCGGCTGAAAACAAATTGAATTCGGCTAGCTTCGATCTATAGTGTGCAATCTAATAATCGCGATAAAGTGCAGCGTGTTGCTCTGTAAAGTGCAACATGTTGTTTTATAAAGTGCAACATGATGATATATAAAGTGAACTACCGTAATTTTAGTACGGTACCATCCATGTTTATTTTTAAAAATGTTGTGATGGATATTAAAGTATTACGTAAGTATGTTTTTAGATTTATATTTGCGTAACATTTTGGCGGGGACTGTTGACATGGGCTGCGGAATGTGTTGATACAGTGCAATGTGTTGTGTTATAGAGTGCATTGTGATGTTTTATAACATGCAACATTTTACTGTATAAATTGCACAAATTTCTACCTTACTAGATAAATTATGTGTTATCGGAAAATATTTTTAATAGGAGTAATTGGACATCGAATAAACTTAAATAAATAAATATATCTTTATTTTATAATTAATTTATTATTTTTATTATATAATTTATTTATTATAATAAATCTAGTTTGAGATGGAAAAACCCGATTTTCCCCAACTGAATTCTGACTCTTGCTTCCCATTCTCTTGGTAACAAACTGCTAATGATTCGTTCGGATTTTCTGTTTTAATATTTATATTATTTTATAATAGTTTATTTATTTATTTATTAATATATATATATGCATAACAATACAAAATATTTTTTTATTAACTTTCATTAATTACAGATTTGACCCAGTGGTTAAATTAAAATATAATTATTGTTATTAAATTTGCAAATAAGTCCCTAGAATTAATCAAATTCTCAACTAAGATGCCCAAACGCACAATCTAGTTTCAGAGGTTCTAACAGTCCCGTATCACCACCTCTCGCATCGGGGAGGGCGTGGTTTGAGCTGCCGAAGACGGCGGTGGTCGAGGCTCCAGCGGCGGAGGTCGATGAGTCGGCGGTGGTGATCGGCGGGGCTAGTGCAAGACGATGGTTCTCTCTCTGTACGTGTGTGTATGGTGTGAGTGATTATGTATGGTTGTGCGTCCTGAGAATGCCGGTGTATGGTGGTTGTGCAGCGGCGATGGGTGATTCGCCGGTGGGAGGTCGGAGATGATGATGCTGGGCGACTGTATGCTTTGTGTATACAACTGTATGTGTATGTGTGCGTCGCAGGAACGCCGACGTATGGTGGCTGTGCGGCGGCGATGGGTGGGTCGCCGGTGGGAGATCATAGACGACGATACTAGGCGGCACCAAGGGGTGTATGTACGTAACTTGTGTGTATGTGTGTGTAAACGTATT